CGTCTGTTTGTGGAGGTTTCTCGGAGAAGTTGAAGAAAACATCTCAGTTTTCAGAATTCCTTGGTGCTCGTGTCAGGTGGCCCCTGAAATGAAGTGGCCAGTCTCCCCACCCCCCGCCGCCCCCAAGACCTCACTCATGCCATCAGCCTGGAGGGACCCCCGGCAGGAGGGCACCATCTGGGGCCCCTGGTATCCCCGGGGAGGAACACTGCGGCAGGGCCATCGGGGCCTCAGCCTCTCCTCGTGTCCCCCAGGGATGTCACTGGGGGCCAAGGGCGCCTCCGGCCCATTTCCTTGCGAGGCCGCGCAGTGGCTCTGCCTGCACGCCTTTCTGCTCAAGCTGGCTCGTCACCGCGTCACCTACAGCTGTCTTCTGAGGGCGCTGCGGACAGGTAGGCGCGGGTGGAGTGCCAGGTGCCCCTTCGTGAGGTGCAGGCCCTGCCCTCCGGTGCTGGGGCCCCTCCGTGTCTGAGGGGTAGGTAGGCGGGTCTCGGAGCCACCAGGTGAGGGGTGCGCGTGCCCCGAGGGTTATAGGCCCCCTCCCTCGTCCAGGGGCCTGGCATGACCACCCGGGTCTCGCCACCTCTCCACGCCCCACCCCCCGGTCCTCGTCCTCCGTCTCCCTTGCAGCCCCCCACCTGCGTGTCCTTCTGCGCACCCCCGACCCAGGTCCCCCTCGGGCCTGTGCCGGACAGTCCCCGTGCCCCCGGCAGGGGTGGGGTGCTTGCCCCCTCCTGAGGTGCCCACCCCAAGCCCGCCTGTACACAGGCTGCTTGGCAGTGTAAGTGCCTGCTGGTCTCAGTGGTGCCCCGGGCCCTGGGGAAGGGCAGTCTCTGGTTTCTCCGGGCCGTGGGTGGGGCTTTGGTGGCTGACTTCAGTCACTGCCTTGCAGCCAGAGCCCGACTGTGCCGACGGCTCCCGAGGGCCACTCTGGCCGCCCTGGAGGCAGCAGCCGACCCGGCCCTGATCGCAGACTTTAAGACCATCTTGGACTGACGGCATCCCTGCTCACAGACTGGGCTGGGCTGGGCTCTGGAGCCCGGTGGGAGGGGGCAGCTCCACGGCAAGGCCTGGGCCCTCCCCCGAGACCCCGGGAGGGGTCAGCCCCCAAGTCCTCAGGGAAGCAGGGCCCGCGCGCCGTGGCCTTCCCGTGACAGGGTCCATTCTCCAGCTGCTGACCACCGGGAAGCGGCAGGTGGGAGAGCCGGGCATCGGGCGTCAGGCGTCTGGACGGGACTGGGGGGCCGTTTGTCACCCCCTTCGCCGCGCTGCAGGGGCTGCCCCGGTCTGGAGCGATGGCACATGTGTCCCCGAGGGCACGGGGCGGCACGTGGGGCTGAGTGGTGGGCGTAGGCTCCTTCCCGCTGACCTCCG